GTGTAACTCAGTGGTAGTAGAGGACCCCTGAGTTCAATTTCCAGTACCCTCTAATAGAAAGAGAGTGGAATGATGAAGTCTCATTTTATGAAGCAGCCTCGTGCCATCACAGTATTCCGATTCTGTGTCCGGCCCTGGGGTCTCCGTAGCAGTCAACAGACAGGTTGCACCCACTGCAGAAGGAGACAGAAGAAGCACCTTGCTGCCACTGCTGCTCCTGGAGATGCCGGAGCTGGAGGGTCTTCAGGGCAATGGGGAGAAGGGGCAGGGCCAGGCCGCAGAGCTGCGGCTGAGCAGCTGGATCATGTCTGATGCCCTGGGCTGCTGGGAGCCGAAGCCTGGGCCCCTCTCCCAGAGCACGGGGCTGCTCCTGAGGCTCCAGTTTCCGGGGCTCCCACCGGGAGGCCAGCCAGCGAGGCGGCAGGAAGGAGGTGCACACAAGTGGAAAAAAGCTTGAAGAAAGTCGGTTGCGGAGGGAGAGAGTGTAATGTGGAAAAAGGACGCGCATGGAGGGTGGTGTTGCTCAATGTGCTTTACAGGTAAATGACTTCTACATGAAAGTCTAGAATTTCTCCTCTCCCATTCCCACCCGCAACACCCCACAATCTAGACTTCTTGGCGTCTGCCCCAGGAGAAAGGTATCTGAGGCGGGCCAGCTCCCTCTCAAAGTGGCAGGGTGGTTGGGGGGGAGCTGAAGCCCCGGCAGGGAGATGGCAGCCATGGCCACTGCCACTTCTGGGGCCCATGATTCCTCCTGAGTCCATTTTCATCCCTCAGCCAGCTGGATGCAGGCAACCGCCTCAGGACGCTGGGCCACTTCGGAGGTAGCTGGGTCCTGAGATGCATCGGTGGAGGGTCTGGGTGAGGCCAATGCCCCTGTCACCCCAAACAGGGCCCTAGCCCTCCACAGGAGCTATTTCCATTGCTACCAGGGCTTCACCTCATGAGCAGGACCATGACAAGGGGCGCTCTGCTCCCCAGCTTTCTCTGCAGCCTGAGAGCCAAGATCTGAAGCCAATCTTAGTCCCACGGAGGTGCTGTGCCGTCTCAGATCAGGCAGCCAATGGGGGCTACAGGGGCTCAGCAGTCAGGGAGCCTGCCCCAACCCGGTTCTTTCTCTCTCTCCCCTTTCCCCCTGGAATAGCCCGCATCTTCACAGCCACCACCTGCTTACAGGTGAGGAGCAAAAGGAAAAGAAGAACTACCCAGCTTGCCCTCTCATGCTCCTGAGACCCGCACCCTCCTGTCTCCCTCTTTCTCACCCTCTGGTTCAGCCCAGGCTCAGAGCTCCCTCAGCACCACCCTTCCCAGTCAGAAAAGAACGTGCAGGCCCAGAGGGGAGAAAGCATTGGCCCAGGGACACGATTCCCTTTCTGCAGCAAGCTCTCCCCAAGGCCTCTGGCCAGGCTCAGTGCCTGGAGACAGACAGGAGCTGGAGGAAGGGCGACCGGCCCTGGGGGTGCTGCCAGAGCGCTTCAGTTCCCCAGGAGGTGCCCTCGCCCTTGGCTCGGGTCCTAAAATATGAAAGAATGAGTAGGAGCTCCCGCGGGCAGAGTGGTGAAGTAAGCCCTGCCTTTCACTTTTGGCTGTGGCTTTTCCCCCCACAGTCTGCACCAGGCAATGCCTGATGTAAGCATTTTCAGCAGGAATCCCTGGTGCTGTGATTGGAATCTTCCTAGCTGTTCCCTCCATGGCAACCCTTGGCCACATCAAGCTCTCTGGGAAACCGACTGAGTCATCAGAAAGTGGCATGCAATGATCACAGGGACAGGGCAGGGGCTGGACACAGTGCCTGAGGTGTGCCTGCAGATGGGCCAAGGCCAAAGACCCCCAGAGGCCAATAGCAGCAGCCCTGAGGGCAGCTCTGGGAGGGAAGGCCGGCCCTCAGCAGGCATTAATGAGTGGCTTCGGAATGCCCACCTCCTACTCTAGGCCCAGTTCCCAACCCGTCAGTCCAGAAGTGACACGCTCCGGTGGTAAAAGCCCAGCAGAAAAAAAAAGCCACTTTCTGAAAGCAACCTCTGGGTCCCTCCAGCAGCCAAATCCCTGGGACATCTGCTTAAACTGCAAATTCCTTCCTGCCTCCCCACCTCTGGCTCTGAGTCTGCACATTCATCCTGGAGAATGACACCCAAAGGGTCCTTCTTGTCCTTTGCCTTTCCAGTCTCTTCTCCACGCAGACCTTTCCCTCCCACTTCCTGTCTGTGCCCCATGGTTCCTGGTCATCCCAGTGTCTCCAGTAACCAACAGGGAAAGGGAGCAGAAAGCACCCCGCCAAATGTTTCCATGTGTCTTTGAGAGAAGGGAACCTGGCTCCCTTTGTAATCCTCAAACGGGACTTGAGCAAGTCTCTCTCTGTGCCTCAGTTTCCCTTTTGGAAAAATGAACTGGCACCAACACTCCCCACCTGCTGACCCCACCACAGCCCCTGGAGAAGAAAGAACTGCACAACGTAACCCTAGCCTTGAGGAGCCAGGAGTTCTCTGCGCTGTTCCTACAACTTGCCTGTGACGTAGCAATTAATACAAGATAAGAAAGTGGAAGACAAAAATGAAAACAAAATGGAAGAACTCACACCTCTGCAGCTAGACCTCAGGAGGTGGCGTGGCAGGGTCACGTTTACAGTTAGATGGTGGCTGGGCCACTCGGGCTCCAGGCACTGCCCTCCCCTGCCACACACCCTACTGGCTGCAGGACCCTGGGCAATTCATCGCCCTGCTCTACTGTGAGCACCCCCTAACTGGCATCAGCCACTTGTCTGTGGGCACAGTGGGGTGGAGGCAGAGCCCCTGGTCCCACGAAACCATGGGAGTGCAAAAGCCTAGGGGACTACGTGGAATACTTCTCAGAGCAGCGCAGCCCCAGAAAGCAGCTTTCCTCTTCCCAGGCATTGGTCCTGTCCCATCCCACCAGGGCATTGGCACTGGAGGTGGCCTCAGGGCTCGGCGGCAAGCAGAGGGCCAGCTTGTGTTACAGGTGACCTGGCACCGTGTGGGCTGTGGGCTGAAGCAAGATGCAGACCAAAGGGATCAGTGACCTGGAGAAGTTTGAGTGGGAAAGGCTCCCAGAATGCATCGGGCTGGGACTGGGGGCGTTTGCTTGGCATGTACCTAAAGACATCTCAGGGAACAGGTGCTGATGCTACATGGGCCAAGTACCAGGCCCACAGCTGGGGGCCTGGAGTTCCTGCCTCCGGGGGCTGCCGGGGCACTGGGCAGAGAGACAAGAGCACAGAGCAGGCCAAGCAAGGCTGAGGTAGGGCTCTGGCTGCAGTGGGGACCAGTGCCCTCCAGTGAGGAGGGCTTTGTCTGGAATCTGGACTTGTGCTGAGCAGGAAGTGAGACACAGTCACCGCTGTCATTTCCGTTCAGATGGCCACTCCTTACTGAGTCTCCCTGGACAGACTGTCACTCTTCTGCACAAGGTGTGGGGTAGATTTCTCTTCCAGCCCTCGCTGCCCAGCTCTGGGCAGAGGCTAAGGAGAACTGGCTTGGATCTTTCAGGAACACAGGGAAGGTTAGACTTAAGCAGCCCCGAAGGATGTGCAGGCTTTGACCTGGTGACTGCAGACCCCCTCCTCCTTCCAAGTCCCCTTCCTCCGGAAGCCTGCCCTGCCCTGTCCAGCCAGGGCTGCTCCCCTGCTCCCGGCGTGGGGAGCCCCTGCTGTGTTTATGCCACCCAGAGCTGCAGTACCCTATGTGGTCACAGGCTGCTTCTGTCACTGAGTCATGGAAAGGAACAGATCTCGGGCACCTACTGCACACCTGGCCTCACACTAGGTGCCTTCTAAATGACAGGCAGGGCAGGTGAGATGGCTGTGCTCCCTCTGCCCTGGCGTGACTTGAGGAAAGGCACAGACACCACGGCCCTCCACAGAGCCACCTGGTCTGTGCATCTGTGTCCTGGCCCCTTGCCAGCCCCCCGCTGGCCCTGCTGTCTCAGATGGGCAGGGGGAGCGGGAACAGCAAGGGGCCCACTAGCCTGGAGCCCCCTCCCCACTGTTCGGATCCATCAGCTTGTGGCTCCCTGCTTCCTGTTCCAAGCCAGGCACCATGTCCAGAAGTCCAAAGGCCATGAGACCAAGGCAAGACTGTTAGGTGTCAGGAGCCTTGCGCAGTGCCAGAAGAGGTGGGAGAGGCTCTTCCCCAGGCTCCCAAGTAGGCAGAGGTCCTGAGATGTGGCTGCACCACCCTGCACAGTGTCGGGGCAACACAGCTCCTACAGCCCCGCTGAGGTTCCAAAGCCCTATGGCGCAGCCCCTTGAGGTGCCTGGCCGCCCTGGGTGGGAGGTGGCCTACCATGTTGCCCCCTTGGACCCCAGCTCGGAATAGCAGAGCAGACAGGAGGGCCTGAGCTTCCAGCCTACCTCTGAGGCGAGGCATAGCTCTGCCTTTCCAGAGGACAAGGCGCTGGCTCCCCCTGCCCCCACCAAAACAATTGAGCCACAGAGCCTGGTGCTGCAGATCCGGTTGATAGCACCACATAGACGACACCGGATTCGGCGCCTTCTGTCTGGGCACCCGCAGCTCCCATCCCCACGGCCCTCCCCCAGACGACCCTATGCCCAGCAGACACTGAGGGGATTGCTGGGTGAGCCAGGCTCTGGCTCTCAGTCTTCTCATCTCTAGAATGGACACGGGCTACAGGGCCATGTGAGATTCCCTGGTTCTTGCATCAGCAATTCTTGGATTCCCCTGTCCCCCATCAAATGGTCTCCTCTAGGAAGGGTGACAACGGAGGAGCAGGCCAGCGAGGGGGCCGTTTTCCTTAGGCACGTGGGCCTCCTCTGGCCCTCTCTGTTAATCTCTTCACTTACAGTGGAAACAGGAAGCCGAGAGAACTGCCTCCTCAAGGGAACCCAAGGAGGAATGCTCGCAGCGGCTAAGGGTTATGCAAGGGAAACTGAGGCAGGCCCCGACTTGTCCCCAGCTGGACACGGACTGGGTGGCCCTCGCTGCCTCCCCGCAGGGCCGCTTCTGACGGCGACTCGACAGCCCTACCTGGTGCAGGTGCCCGGCTTGTGGGGTGGGCGGAGGGTCGCGTGGGCACTGGGCGCGGGTTCCCTCGGTGGGCAGCGCCCAGGCCGGGTCGGGCGGCGGGCGCGGGGCGCAGCAGGGAGCGTGCAGGGAGGCCGGAGGCGCGGACTGGGCTCCGCCCACAGGAGAGCAAACAGGTTTTCTCCGGGCGGCCCGGAGCCTCGCCCCTCGCCCCTCCCCTCGGCCAGCCCCCTTCCTCTGCCCTCTCCTGGGGTAGGTAGATGAGCCTGGCACATTCCGCGCATTCTCCCGCCCGCCGGTGTCCTCCGCCGGCCGGCCCCTTCCCGGCCCGCCCACGGGGCGGCGCAAGGAATCGAGGCCCGGGCTGCCCCCGCCGAGCCCGGGGCGACCGCGGATGGCTCTGGCACAGTCGGAACTTCCTGGCACGTTCCTCCGGGCTCGCGGCCCCGGGTGGAGGCCCTGCCACGTGAAGGGATCCGGCCCAGGCTCGGGGCCAACGACTTGCACAGATGCTGTGGGCTCCCTCCGCCGAGCACTACCGTTCCTAGATCCATTTTACAGATGGAGGTCCCAGACGGGGCGGGGACGGCGGGGGTCTGGCAGCTGAGATCATGCAGGAAGTCTCGGGGCCGAGGCCGGGAAGGAGGAGCAGCAAGTGAGGGACCGGCTCGGGCAGCGCCGGAAAACCCCCACCGTGGAAGGCCACCCCGGGGGGTGGGGGGGGACCCGGGCGCCCACGACACAGCAAATGGGGCGCCTCGCAGGCTGGGCCAATGCAGTTTGCTAAGTAGCATTCATTCGTGATGGTGGGCTGGGGGCTGGGATGGTGGGCACCGAAAAAACAAAAGACCGTCCTAAGCAGACCTGGGAGGCCTAGCAGAGGGGACAATTAGGCTGCCCCAAGTGATGGCACAGAGCTGGCCAGAGCTGACTCGATCAAAAGAATGGCTCGACGGGGCCTCCTTCCTCGGGTCTAAGCCAATCCTATAGCCGAGGGGCCTCTGCTGCACCGCCGGAGCTCTGAGCCCATGGTGCTGGCCTCCGCGCTGGTTTCCCTGACTTGGGGCAGAGACAGTGGGCACAGCAGTCGCCAAGGAGCTCACAGGTGTGCCATGGCCACCCACTAAGGCTTCCCATTGCTTTCAGGATCGAAGCCAAACCCCTTGGGACTTCCAGGGTTCCCCTGTGCTTGCTGCACTGTGCTGTGCCCACGCAGGTCTCCCCTGGCCCCTGAGCCCACTGTGTGTCCTCTCCCCTCGGGGCACTTGCTCCCTGTCCAGTGCCCTTCCTGTGTCCCATGGCTGTCCGGTCTCTTAGAGGACAGTGGCTGTGAGGACCAGCCCATCCCACGGAGGCATTTGCAGAAGGGAGAGATGGAGGGGCGACCGAGATGCTGGACCTGTCTTCCCTCTCCTTTCTGGGCTTCATCAGATTGAGAAAAAGGTAGGCAGTGTGCTCTGAGGGTGGGGCTTGTATACGAAGCTGCTTCGTTGTCTCTGAGTCTTTTTCTGCTTCCAGTGTGGTGTATCTGTCTCCGGTGCCTCCCTTCCCCTACCCTGGCGCCTGATGGCCGTGGGCTTGCCTTGACATCCTAGCTTCTAAACTTACCCCTGCGGACATCGGACGTCGGGGGCGTGACATTCCCTCTCTGGCCCTGTTCCCCTCCCCTCAAGAGCCCTTAGCCTAAAGAGGTAAGACAGAGCACACAGGGCAATGCATCAGAGGTGGGGGAGGAGGAGATGGCCTCTTCTGTCCCAAGGCCACCCTCGGGAAAGGGCGAGCTTGTTCCAGAGTCCAGAGCTAGGGCGAACCATCTGAAGAGCACGAACGAGCGTGTCCAAGGACATGGCTGGCCAGGGGAGGCTGCCCCAGGCTGGGCTGTCCCCAGGCCTTGAGCTCTTCCCCTGTCCCAGTGAGTCAGCCCCTGCTCAGGCCAGATCGGTCGCGTCAGCTCCAGGCGGAGACAGCCTCTCAGCTCCTCCCTTCTGGCCTGGCTGCCAGGTCCCAGCCGATCTTGCCTGCAAACGGGTTTGACTCGAACAGTGACTGCCCTGCCCTGCCCTGCCCTGCCCACCTGTTCACTGCCCCAGCAGAATCTTCCAGCGATGGTCCCCACCCCACTCCTTGCCACGGTCACCTCCAGTCACTAGGCTCCTACTGGCTTCTTCATCAGCCCAAGTGACACAGTGCTATCAACCACCAGGCACCCTTCGAAAGATGCCCCTTTGGATGGCCTTTCCTCCCAGGGGTACCAGGTGACCTCCCACTTTAGCTTACATGTGCCTCCTTCATGAATGTTCCCTTGGACCTCCCTGAGGTTCTAGTCCAGGATCCTGGTGACCACTGGGTCTACTCCTGCCTGGCCTGGCCTTGCCCCTGCCCCTACCCACTGTGCTCTGCTCCTATGCCTTAGTTGCTGGCTCCAGCTCCAAGTCTAGCCAGGGACTGGGCATCGCCCCAATCAAGGCCATGCTCTGAGGGCACAGGTGCTGGTTGGAAGTAGGGTTGGCTGGGGAGAGGGTGGCAGGCCGGGCTACCAAAGAAGGCAAGAGGCCTAGAAGGTGAAGTGGCAGGTGGTGGCCCTGTGCTGAGGGGGCCACAACTCAGGAGTAGGCAACTGAGACAGGTTTTCCAGAGGTTTGACTGAAGCCAGCAGATGGGGTGGGGGACAGGTGGCCATCTGGAAGGACAGGCCAGCAGTGCTCCTAAGCTCCAAGGGAAGCGCCAGCCATTCCCATCTTCGGGGCTGGGAGTGGAACTCAGGCAAGCCCAGCTAGCTGAAGAGTTCCCAGGCTCGGGAGAGGAAGACAGCCAACCCAGGCAGTGTCCCTACACCAGAGGGGACCGTAAGCAAAAAACCTGACCCCTGAAGTTGTACAGAAGAGCGAGCAGAGGCCCAGAGAAGAACAGGACCAAGCCAAGACCACACGGTTCATCTGAAGAGCGAGGTGGAGTTCTCCGGAACCAGGTCTAAACCTGGGGTCCCAGTTGCTCTGGAAGGAGTCTCTGCCCAGCAGGGTAGGCACTGGGGTGCTCAGGTCCACCCTCCTGCTTGCACCCCAATCCCCTCCTCCCCTCCCTCCGGAGCCCCGCCCTGCCGCCTCATCTTCCTAAGCTCTTCAACCAGTTGCCACTTGCTGGGTGGCTTTGCTGACTCCTAGCAGGATGGGTCCCCTGCGGGCAGAGCACCCCAAGCCAGGTGGGTTGCACCCAGGATGGGCCCAATGAGGCGGTGAGCCTCCGTGTCTACAACTAGATGCCCTGCTAGGAGCTGGTCCAACCCCCCCCCCACCAGATCGTGCCTTTGGAGCCTTTGCCATGCCCTCAGTTTGCACCCCTGAGCCCTTCTCTGGGATGCACACACACACAGACACTTGCCAGATGTCCCCACTGCACTGTCACCCCCGTCCTGCCCGGAAACCAGGACCTCCAGTCTGGTGTGGGAGGCAGAGCACTCCTGCTGCAAGGGGCAGCGTCCGGGCCTGGGGATTGTTGGCTCCACGGAGAGCAGTGGCCTTATCACACAGCCAGGGGACAAAGAGGTCACATGCCTCTCCCCACGGGGAGCAGTGGCCTTATCCTACAGGCCAGGACAAAGAGGTCAAGCGCCTCCTCTGAGGAGCTGCATGCTAACATCTTCCAGCCATGTGCCTGGGGTCCCACTGCCCCAAAAATCCACCACTTCGAGTGGCAGCACCCCTCCGTCCGCTTCAGTGTGTGTGAGCCGATGCCCCAGAACACACCCTGGCTCTGTCCCTGGCTCCAGGCCGCTCCACGCTCGGCCTTCAGAGCATGAGTGCCCGAGCCGAGCCAAGCCCTTGCTGGCAGATAGGCTCCGCATGCCCTGAAAAATGGCTTTTTGCTGCTTTAGGAATCATGTGCAGATTGAAAAAAGAATGTTCTAATTGGAAAAACCTCCCCGCCATGGTTTTCCGGAGTTTTAGTACAGTTGGCCGTGAAGGGGACTCCTGGGACAAGGAGGAAGGGAAGTCATGAGGAGGAGATGGTGGGCTTCCTGCCCAGCGCCCCTCATTCCCTGAGCTCAGCTCAGCCAGCGCTGGGCCTGGGCGGCGGGCCTCTTCTCAGCCTGGGGAATCCGAGGCCGTCTGGCCTGGCTGGAAGCGCCTCCCTGGAGCCCAGCCCAGTCCTGCCCCCTAGAGGCCCGGCTGCTGCCCCCAAAGCAGTCCAGGCTCCAGAGACCTCCATGCTCCGGGACTGGGTCCCCACTGGGGACTGTGAGCCCAGAGGAGGAAAGTTATGGAAGCTGCCACCTGCTCAGAAGCGGGGTCTGTGCTGGGGTGTGGGGCCGGGGGCCCCCAGCCGGGAGCTGCAGGCTGCATGCACATGCTGACTTATGGACCAGGCGTCCTGCTAAGCCTGGCCCGGTGCCCCAGCCACAGCACTCGAGCAGCTACCTAGTGGCAGGAGCTGTGGATCTGCTCCCATTGCCAGAGCATTGCCCTTCCGCCGGGAAACGCCACTGGGAAGGGGAAAGGCAGCAGATCCCTGGAACCCCAACACGTGCGCACAGCTCAGGGTGGCTCATCGTGACTCACCTCGTGGAGGCCGGATGCTTCTTTAGTAGCCTTTTCCAGAAGCCTTGCTGACTGCTTAGCTGCCTAAATTCGCTCAAGGCCAGCAGCCTTTGAAAGACTAGAAGAGAGGTTGCACCTGAGCAGGACCCCATTCACAGGCAGATCTCCAGGTTCCTCCTCTTACTTCTACCCAAGATACTTCTGGCCAAAGTGGAAATTCAAATCTTCTCGGCCTGAGGGAGGGGCTGGCTCTCATCACAAGGGCTGGACCAGCCCGGGGACCTCACAGCAACCTGTGCCTGGGGATTGTGAACTCAAACAAATGATTCTGGGCTTCCCAGCGCCCGCCTCCCACCCCTCCTCCCCTGCCTCTCCTACCCTTCCGACCCCAGGCCTTGGGGACTGCAGCCCTGGAACCTGAGTGGGACACGTCTCTCGGGTTCTACTGGTCACAACAGCCACAGGCCACACAGGTGGCCACTGAAATGTAAGTGAGTTACAATGAAATATTATTAGAAATTCAGTTCCTCAGTCACACAGGCCACATTTCAAGTGCTCGGACTCCCCGTGTGGCCAGCACAGACTGAGGATGCGTCTACCACCACAGAGAACTCTACCGGGCGATGCTGCTCCTTAGCTGAAGCCAGGCCCTTCACCAAGCCAGGAGGCTCTTTCTCCCCGCCCCATTCCTACTTTGGGCTAGGCTAATCTGCCCGTGGACGAAAACCT